CATTAGAGGTGTTACAGGTGCCTTAACAGCACTTTGGGGACTTGATTTTGAGAATCGTTGGTTATACAGGGATTTGGGACGGGGGGGGGGGATACAATAGAGGTACAAGCGTTGCTTGTTTCGTAGTAAGGATCTTGCAATAGGAATAATGGTAGCAGAGATTTATTTATTTTTTGGCGAAAAAGGTATGTAAGAATCGTAGCAATCGGCGTTTCAAAGTCTAAAATAGCCTACAATATACAGAGTTAGACCCTGTAAACCGCCGACAGATGGTGGTAAAAATGAGAGTTATTTTAAACTGTAAAACACCAAGCGGTCACCGGTGACCGCAACCTATTGTTCTATAATTGTGTCTATAATGACGGTGCTCGACGAGTTAATAAAAGTAAGGAATCAAAATATTTATTTTATGTAATTATAGTTGTAATCAACTGCTCAACGCTGATGCTGCAAGAATGAAAAACAAATACGGTTAAACCAGCAAAAAAGGTGTGCTGCCGTTTTACACCCTGTATATGTATGTATAAGTTCTTAATTCTAAAAACACCTATTAAAAGTAACATTCAAATTTTGACTGCACGGTTGGCGCGGGGCTGGCCTTCTTTATTTTTTTTAAAGGGGGCAAGCGGTGGCTGGGCAACTAGTTGCAGCGCAATGTGTAGCGGGTTCGATTACCGCACAGAGCAGCTTTTTGTGAGATCCACAAATTGTTGTTTCGGGTCTGGGTGTCAACTGTCATGGTATATGTAGACTTGTATGTTTGAAAACGACACAGGAAAAACCTAGTGTGGAGCAACATTAAAAAAAAAACAATAAAATAAATTGTTTATTCAGTAGTGTTATAAGAAGTCTCGTGATTTAAATTAGATACTAGCTGGAATTCCAGACTTTAATATATTACTGAAAATTAAAGAAACGAAAAGAAAAAAACAATACTTAGACACTCATTAACACTTATAACGACTGCACTAAACAAACTGTTCTCTGTTCGTACATAATAATTAACTATAAATCATGAATGAAACTAGTCATAAGCACTTGTTTTATAAATCGTAAGTATTATTATTAGTAGAGTATGTCTGTCAGTAATACATTACTTTTATGTAATCTAAACGTGTAATTAACAAGCGTGATGTTAATTACTTCTTCCGTTTACTACCCTTCCCATATTTCAAGCAGTTGCGCACGCGCAGTTGCTTAGATTTTTCCGTTAAGTGCGAAAGTGCTTGTAGTTATGTAGTGTTGTGGTGTTCTAAAAAGGAAATTTCTTTGTAACTTTGTTTTCCTAAAGTGAACCTTAATAATAATAATAAATGTGACGGTTATTTACAAACTGTTGCGTTTTTACACCGATTGCGAATGTTTTGACAAAATATATTAACGTTAATTAATTTTATAGAATTTAAATACATCATAAGTAATTAAATTACTCATTCCTAATATTCTGGAAGAGTGATATTCCATATAGGTACTTTTATCAAAATTGACGATCAAAAAGTAATAATGTCCTATCGAGTTAAATAAACTTCTTTATTAAACATAGAGGTAGATAAGTATTTCCACTAAAAGCCTACAGTGACTATATTACGAGATAAATCGTTCAGCCATCTTCCTGATAATTCAGTAAGGTGAGTTAAAGTATTGGAACTCTTTGTTTCCTTACCATACGAGTGATTACGATTCCCTGCGCATACGCAAGCGCTACGTGGATGCAGTTCAATGCCGCGTGTCTTCCTTCCGTTATGTTACTCGGGAGACAATCGGCGCGTGCGACGATTCATCTCAAATGTCAGTGGAGCAATAGAATGCAAATTAGAAGTATTGAACGTTCGCGTTCTCTGTAATGTACGGTACTTGGATTCGATGTTTTTGTTACATTTTGTGAACAATAAATATTGTATCTATGTATTTTTTCTAACTGTTTCGTTGGTTGGGTGGTTAAAAATGCAACTATTGCGCTAGAAGTTCAAGAATCGATTCCTTGGTTGCAAAAGGTGTTATCGGAAAGCTTTTGGCTTTTTTTGGAAATTCTCAGTAACCGTATCTGGAGTTGTAATATTCTAATACTTGACAATAGGATCACCCCCTATTACACGGGTTTTATAATATAAGTGGTTAAACCCATTTATTACCTAAGGGACTGGCAGAGATGCACATTATAGCGCTTAATGCCACTGTACCTATAACTTAACACCCACTTTTCACTTTGTATGTTATGAGTCCCATGTAATAGGGGGTGAGTCTATTGCCATATACCGGGCACATTTCCAGACTCCATGCTACTACAGATTTATTTTTAATCTCAGAATTACTTTGCACGACCCGGTAACCGAACCCTAGACCCATTGCCCGGCAGTCACACTTGCGACCACTCGGCCAACGAGGACATTTTACGTGTGCACACTCTATCTACCCTTCGAGTAATAAAAACATTACCTACCTATGTTATGTTATCTTTATCATAGACAAAACATAAATTTACATTAAAAAAGTAAGACATTTTACCCTTGAAATAGTATGGTGGTAGTAATCTAGGCCAATATCGCATTAACGTTGTTTGTCTAACAGTTTATTGGAACCACACTATCAGGATGACATTTAAAACTCAACCTTTTACGAATATGTTTAGAGTGTAAATATCAAGTCCTACTTTTTATTGGAGGATAGAAGGATTTGTTAATCAATAATTCAAACTAGGTTTTAATTTTTAAGTTGGCAAAAATTATTATTTGAGGTTAATTCAGTTTTAGAACTATTATAAGCATTGCGGCTATATATTAATAAACAAATCGATACTTTGAAATAAATTAAGTATGTGAGCGATATTTAAAACAAAAGATAATCAGAATAATTGAATAATATACGTGAATAAACTTCGACCACAGATAATCGAGTCATTCACAGTTTTACAAAAGCATATTTCGACCACCTCTAAACTAAACAGGAAAATACTTTTCATAAGTTCCAAATTGTCTAAAACATTTTCCATAAGTCCACTCTAGGTACCCATTCTAAGCAAATTAGGTTTACACAAAATAAATAACGAACACAAGTCGTTATGTTGTAAATTTACCCCTACAAAACACCCCTAGTAGGGTACTTGACCCCGTTACCTATTACTTAAATAGGATAAAATTAACCCCTAAATTAGGATAAGCTACAAAAGTAATTAAAATATTTCATAATATCCTAATTTTACGGTCGGTGAGAGTGTATTAGGGAGACATCATCGTTTCATGATGGATATCCCACCCACTGGTACGAAGCGCTTCGCTGCAAGCTTCCTTGTGCGTACTGCTAAAGAGTCTGTGTTTTCTTAAGGGTGTCTTCAAGGCCCTAGTGAATAGGTTGCTTATGGGTAGACGTGCTCCGTCGTGGGCGAACGCTGAACCATCGAATAAATAAATAAAATCACAATTATGAACAGCCTGTGAGAGTCCATGGTGTATGGGTCCTTTACATATGCTTGGCAAGCGTATTGCTGATTGCAGTTCAAAAGGGTCAGATCAGAGAAGGCTACTGCCCAGTCTTTGCTAAATATATGGTCCTGTAGTCAAAAACAGCTAAGCTCTTCTCTCGAAGTGCGCTCGATAGCATTATTGGTCGAGATTATTCTTACAACCAATGATATAGCAGACCACGATCAACCTCACTTTTAGACTTCGACTTGATTTCTTAAAGAATAGTCTGGCAGTAGAAGTGATAACAAATGTTTTCCACTTTGCCGTCACCGCGCAGCTAATAGAGAAACATTATAAATAAGACTATTTAGAATATCTAGCTACTGGGTCATTATCAAGACTTGTTTTTTGCATTAATATTTTCTCTTTGAGACTACTTTGTAGATGCAAGTAGGTAAAGTGAACCGATATTAAGCTAAAAGGGAAAGCCTCTTCGAAGTTTTAGTGCTTAACTGGAGTTAGGTATGTCGCCAAGTGGATGTTCTTGTACCTACCCTTAAGTGGCTTCAGTGTGTCTTTTTATTAGATACTTAGGTAAGGACTTTTCTCACGGGTCTCCGACTCTCGGATTGGTTGGTCGAGAATGTGTTGGAATTCTTATTTTTTTTTCTTTCGCAGGCGGTTTTGTTCCGTAAAGGGCTAAGCGTTGTAGCTACCTAGGTAGTAGATTTTGTGATTCCAATTAGTTTATATAACAATAAAATTCAAAGTATTTACCTATAACATTCCAATGGTCGTTCTCAAATATACATTTACCATATAGCCATAAGTATATTTCGAAGGGGTAAGAAACTTATAAAGCCAGTTCATCGAACTTGCAAAATATCAAGAAGAAAATTGCATGTACATATTTTTGTACGAACTAACAACCAATAAAAACGGTGTAGTCAATAAAATGTCGATGTCCACGCACTTGCAAGTACTTGTAAGACTACACCATTAATTCTGGTTCATTAGTGAGATTAAATTTTGGGACTTGGAATACACGGAACATTTTTATCATTGGCATAAATTGAATGTAATAAGGTATTTAGAGCCTTTCCCCGTGGATACAGGTTTTGGGGACCGTTGGTCGACCCAAGCCCACCATTGATCTCATTGTTTGATACATTGCACTTTTAGGGAGCGTCGCCTGCGCACCATCATCGATCAAGCGGTATACAGGTTGTTGTTGATTGAATTTACAGCTACAAAAAAAAAAATGTCAGTGTGAAATATCATTGTCTAAACAGAGATGCCTTCTAATTGATATGTAAATATTTAGAGATTTGAAAAAAGGTTGGTACCTGATAAGATGAATGTCTGTCAATTTGTTTAACGTTGTTTTAATTAGCAATCCAGATTCAGTACGGTATTCAAATGTGTACAAAGTGACACATTCAAACAAGAAGATAGGGATTTGTCAACCACATTTTATACTTAAAGTATTACTCATTACTTTAGGTAGTTGTTTTATGATTCGGTCGCAGAAGTAAAAAATAAAAAAGAAACAGGAAAAAATTTACATTTGTTTACATCCTGTGGACGCGGAGTGCGGGAGCGCGTGCGCATAAAACGACGGTGCAGCGCCAAGCGACACACAATCACAAGCCGGCCGCACGCCGCAACACCGCAACTGTGAGTACCGCAACATATTATTGCTTACGCAAAAAACACGCAAAATTTTCAGTTTACTTACATGAAAATATCTAGATTTCAAAACTAGAATTTCTGACAAACATTAGTTTTTAAAAGCGAATTTTACAGAGACAAAATTAATAACCTAAAACTTTCAAAAACCATTTTAAATAAATACATTATTAAATATCACATATAAAAAATAAGCGATCGTATTATTTATTCTAGAAGCGTTAACATTTGAATATTTACACATAAGCTTCGTAGATCAAGTTGTTATCGGCTTTTATCGGCGTCCGCGCAGGCAGCCGGCCAACTTTTGTTGTTTGTTTTTTAAATATAAATACGTTCATATATATTATTTGCAAATGTAATAAATATTCATAGCATCCATTTCCTTTAAACTTGACTCCTGTTCAGTGAAAGTGTTAGATTATACTTAATGTTAGTTTTATGATAATTTTGTTGACTTTCGATAGGTCCATTATGGTGTCGCTAAAATCGTTTAATTCAATTTTGTTTCCGATTTCCATTAATTTTGTTAATGACAAACTTTGTTGAGAGTTTCTTTATTTTGGTTTACCTTCAATTTCTTTTTTGTTTTTAAGACAGTGTTGGAACAGTTTTAGGGAAATTGTTCGGTGTAAAAATATTGTGTGTGAATTTAGTTTTTATTCAAGTTTATAAGCCTCCTTCGCAATATTGAAAAAATAATACTTTATGGTGCCTTATTCCTATTTTACCCTTTGACAATTATTGGCACCGATTCATGTAAATAACTTAAGTTTGTAAATGACAAAGCACTTGGTGATTTTTTTTTAAATATTGATGTTGACTAAACTTTGCCATTATGTCAATTTGAATTTGAAATTTATTATGACACTTATAATTACATTTTCAGCCTACCTATTACTTTCTTAGTAGCTTAAATTTTCAAAGAAAGAAAGCTACAATTACCTAAATGAAACTTACCTCTATAAGAAATTTGCACAACTTACAAAAAGGTTTCAAAGAAATAATTTATGGTTTTGTTACGACCCATAATTTTGAGAAATTGGAGCTATCAGTGTTTAAAAATTGTTGAATAAATTTAATTTTTAAATTGGTTCATGATAAAACTGTTTCAGTACTAATATAAATTTGACTGCGGCCTGAGATAGCACAGGTTTGTCTAACTATTGCTAATTACTGCTGAATTTGCAATTAATTGAAATTTATTACATTGGATTTGCGAATTAGAATCGTTAAGAAAAGCTTATTTTCGCTGACCATTTTTTTATTTTCTTTTAATGACCCATCTCTATTTAGTTTGACATTCAAGATACTTTTAGAGATTTTTTTACGGATTCAAGATAATAAGGGATATAAAATTAAATTAGCTTTTCTGTTTATGTAAAAAGGCACTACAGTAAGCTAACGTAGAGTCTAAAATCCCCAACCACTAAACAAACCATACAATATCAACGGCCAACACACTCAGTATGCACCATGTAATATGTATTATGAAACCCGCCATAACCGTACCTCATGCCTCGTGTCACGGGCATGGGTCTTGTCTTCCAATGGGAGTATAGAAGCCATACTCAGACAAAGGGTTTTCACTTTCGGCCGCTGACCTTAGAGGTAGGATAACGACACTTGGAGTGAACTCATCATCTATTTAGTATTCAGGAAAGGTGCCAACAGTACCCATCACTTCGCAGGTAGTCAACTTACTCCTCTCTATCCAATTCCGTTATTCAATTTTCAACTTTATTGTTTTGCAATATACCATTGAAAATCCAATGAAGAAAATTGACAGGTTGAAGTAACTTGACTTGCTGGTGACTGTTAGTAGCAGTATGGAATTGCAACCAATATAAAGTTAATAGTTATATTGATTTTAACTTGACGAATTGTGTGTTATAACTCGGAAAAGCGATCTTAAATCGTACCTGAAATAATGTAGGTTGACATTTTACAGAGAATTAAAATATCGATCGTTTATTTACTGTGGTTGTGTGTGGTCGATTGTAAATATTGATTTGGATAATGTATTAATTGAATATGTTGTGTTATTCTAAGTTATTGCTTTTATTTTTAAAACATATTTGAGAACACGATTAAAAATTTTAGTGTCTTCTTTATGGGTTCCAACTAAAATATGATTGAATGAAAGACAAATAAAAAAGTGTTAAAGAAAAATAATATTTTCACGAAACATAAACAATCTGTAGTCTTTTATTTACATAGACTTTGTAGATAACAATCTAACGATAAACACACACACACAAACACATTATATTATTATGTATTCCAATGCCGAAGCAATTAAATGTAACATCCAAAAAGTCTCATAAATTCCACAACAAAGCGATATGACCTATTGGAAGGGCTGGGACATTCCTGACATTTAGTATTTTAGTACACAGTCATAGACTCTTCAGTACATTAGGCACTACCTAGTAATTGAGCGTAAACCTTCAATTCTATTGCCAATTGAGCAATAATTATAATAACAATAGACATTATTGTTTAATTGCTTCAATTATTATATTGTGTTGAATCTTGTGACAGCGTCTACATTCATTATTTTTCATATGGTAGGACTTCGTTTATATTTTATCTAAAACAATTGATATTGATTATGATAATCAGTTATAACGGTTATCTTTTAAACAGGAATTCGTTTAAAACGTGCAGAAGTATTATACACATGCATATGTACGTGCAACTTTGCATACACTATCAGTAATTAAAAAGCGTGTCGTTATGTTTAGGTATGAGTCAAAGTCAAAGTCAAAATTATTTATTTCAATTAGACCAGAGAGGCACTTTTGAACGTCAATAAAAAAAAAAAATTGTGAAGCTATTTGCTCATTCCAAGGTGTAGATAGTCGAACTGGAAAACGATAATTTTATTATTTCCAATCTTACATAATTGCATTTGTACTTAAAAGCTAAAAATAATGCAGAATATTCATCCATTCTCCAATATAAGCATTTTAATTGTTTTATTTAAATTCAATTAATAAGTCAAATAAAATTAAATGTTTTTTACTGCAAAGAAAATAAACCGATTCCATGGTATGTCAGTGTTTTGGCAAGCTTTAGTTACCTTTGAATCACAAACTTCGGAATTTCCTGGAATTTTGTATAAATTATTCAACATTTGTTGGGAATTGAGCTTAAACTTATTGAAGTACCAATGGGTATATAATGTTCAATATAACAATATTTTATTTGGTTTTGTTTTGAAACCCGAGCAATGCAGGAGGTCTGGGATTCTACCTCTATAGTGCATAAGATAAACACCAGAGTAAGACTAAGATAACTTAGCGTAACATAGCTGAGAAAATTAGATGCTAAAGGGTAACGATTACCTAGGTGTGCTTGTCTCGTCAGCTATTTTTTAACCGTCTTCCTAAAAAAGAGGAGGTTCTGAGTTCGGCCGGTACTTAGGTATCTATTTTATCCCATAACAAAATATTATTTACTAATACTAGATGCACCTACACAACACAAGTCATTTCTTAACTATTAGTGAATTAGTGGTACAATTTCTTTTAAACATAGGTCTTATTTTTATCAAAAACACTCACGAAAAAAGTGCTAAAAAATATAAAGAACTACCTAAACATGAATCTTTCTGACTCACTACCTGATTTTCAATTTGCATTGCTGATGGGACCCGACTATACCCAGATGTTCAACCGGTTTTATATTGTTCAGAGAATTAGCACTGAACGGTGTTCGAATTTCGATGTCACCAAATTATTAATATTAATAATGTGGTCGATGTTGGCTAAATATAGACCGATAAAGAACAATGATTGATATGTTTTAATCTTTTGAAGATAGGTTGGGAAAGTTTTCTTTCTGTACTCTTAGAGAAATAGCATAGTTACGTTTGAAATAATTGAAATTGATTATGATAATCAGTTATAATGGTTATTTACTAAACTGAAATTCATTTAAAAGCATGCCAAAGCATTGTACATATACGTGCAACTTTACCTACTCTATTGGTAATTAAAATTATGTCCAACTGGCAAACGATTATTATATTAAATTAACTATATTATTTTATTTTCTATCTGACATAACTAAATTTTACTTGTGGCTGAAACTAACTGACTACTACATAGTCATAAAATATTTCCTCATAACTATTAAGTGATGCTGAAAAAATTAGTTTTGCCATTTACTACTACATTCTTTAATTTTAAATAATACCAAAAATTATAGAGATATATCAAAGAAAATTTTAATTTTAGAATTATAAAACATGTTTGATACATCATAAACTTAATGTGAACAGCTTTATAAAACTTTATTAATTGCCCATTGTTAGTATTATGAACTTATGCTTTATTGACGTAATATAAAATTCTACATTTGTATAAATATTTCACACCTTACACAACTAGATTGGTTGGAGACCTTTTGTAAGGCTCTAAAATCTTTTGTGAAATATTTCATGCAAAAATAGAAATATACACTTCAATATACACTCAACCGACCAAGTCAGCTGTCATTGAATAAAACACAAAGAAAATAATTAACAATAACATACATAACATAACATCACATCAACAGGCAGAGGTGCACATTACGGCACTTAATGCCACTGTACAATGTAACACCCACATTTCACTAACTATGTTATGAGTCCCATGTGATAGAGCGTGAACCTATTGCCATATACCGGGCACAATTCCAGACTCTGAGATTTTTTAAATAAACAATAACATATCAAGATAAACATAATAATATGTTGTTTAATGGACGCTTGTTAACTTTTATTATATGAACATAGTACAAACACCAGTTTATACTTAGTGGAATATAAAGCTACGCAAGTCTGATGGGTTTTAATGGAGCAAGATGGGACGTGGTCTAGAACTAAGTTGCTGCGTGGAATAACAAGTTGTATGAAGTAGTTTGTTATGTTTCATTAACATGGAAGAACTATTGCGTACATAATGTATTAAAGTTTATATGTTTTAGGAAGGAGTGGT